AAGCAGGAAACTCCATCGACTCCAAGAGTGAACTCCTACCGCTTAATCCGTTCATAGATAAAGATGGCATTATTAGGGCTGGTGGGCGTCTTGGAGCGTCTCAAGACTTAGCGTATAACGAGCGGCATCCAATAATTATTCCTTATAACTGCAGGTTGTCCCGTCTAATAGTGTCCTTTATTCACCAAGTCTCTTTGCATGGGGAAAATCAACTCATGCTTCGCCTTATCCGAACTCAGTATTGGATCCCCAGAGTTAAAATTCTGATCAAATCCACAATCCATAACTGCAAAGTCTGTACGATATACAAAAAACGTACGCAAACCCAGCTTATGGGAATTCTCCCTCAGGAGAGAACCACATTTTCGCGCGCGTTTACGAATACAGGTGTAGATTTTTCAGGACCCTTTGACATCAAAAGTTATAGCGGCCGAGGTTGTCGAATGTCCAAAGGATACGTTTGCCTTTTTGTCTGTTTTACGACAAAAGCGATCCATTTGGAAGCAACTAGTGACCTCAGCACTCCATCATTTTTAGCTGCATTCGCCAGGTTTGTAGCCAGAAGAGGATGCCCGAAGAACATATATTCCGACAATGGTACAAACTTCGTCGGAGCTTCACGATCTTTACGATCTGAATTTAAGGCATTTTTAGCAGATTCGCGTGAAAAAGCAGTTTCGAAATACAATTATCAAATGCTCACATGGCATTTCATACCCGCCGCTGCTCCTCATATGGGCGGCTTATGGGAGGCGGGGGTAAAAAGCTTTAAAAGCCACTTTAAAAAGATTGCATCCGTTCATAAGTATACGTTCGAAGAGTTCAGTACTCTTTTATGTCGGATTGAGGCGTGCCTCAACTCACGACCATTGAGCCCCGCTTCGAATGAACCTACCGACCTGGAGCCTCTCACTCCAGGTCACTTTCTTACTGGTGGACACCTGCTAGCCCCACCTGAAATCGACGTTCACGAGAATCCTGCCTCGATAGTAAATCGGTGGCAGAAGCTAAAGGCCCTTCACCAAACTTTTTTGTAAACGATGGAAAACCGAATATTTATCCGAACTGCAAAAGCGGATTAAGTGGAAATATCCACAGCAAAATATAAAATTAGGAGATCTCGTTGTCATCAAGGAAGACAACCTCCCGTCAAATGAGTGGAGATTAGGTCGAATTATCAGCCTACATCCTGGTCCCGACGATCGAGTACGCGTAGTTGACATCATCACGGAAAAAGGGCAGATTACGAGACCGCTGGCCAAACTGGTCCTACTTCCATCCCAAAATCAAGAAACCGAGGAGCCAGCAAGCACTTCGTAAATAAACCCTCTCCGTTGATCCCCAATCCCGCGTGAATTCCACTTCCTCATCGCACAAAAATTCCACTTCTATGCATTCGGAAGGATTCAACGCCTATAATCAAGTTTAACCCAGAGCAATATTAAAGGTAGTCGTGTTTTTAGTTAGATTTTTGGTGATGGTTCTTAGCCCGGCCTCTCCGGGTAGATCTGGGTATAAAGAACCGACCATCGTTAGATCTTGTAAGCATAGAATCGGGTAAAAATAAGACAGACCAAGCTTGATGAACAATTGTTTCAGAAATACGAAATTGGTAACGAGGTGCGAATTATCAATTAAAATCCTCCAAAAAATATAATAATAAGCGAAATAAGTTGAAAGTCGTTACAATTGTTCATTATGCTTGCTCGTGTTTCAACACAACTAGGTCTGATGGGAAGCGAATACATTTTACTTGACAGGTTTCGATAACCGTCAGTCAACCCATTAGACCAAATGAGTTCGCCTCAATTGTCAAAACCTACCAGCAAAGACTATAGTTCAAAAAAAAAAAAAAATATATCTATACATACGATAGCTTATTTGCAATAAATGTGCTATTTGTGCCGTGTGGAATGCTCCCTGCGAAGCCCCGAAAACTGAAAGGACGTTTGGCAATTTTTAAATTATGCATATATATATATATATGTACTACGCATGTAGTTATGTGAATTACATTTCTTATAACCCGATTACTGGGGAAATGACTAGCTCAAATTGTATTTAAACGAAAAACGGGTTGCAAAAAAATTACTTACTAACGTTTTACTAAAGTAAGATATATAAACATACTGAAATAACGGAACATACATTCCAAAAATTCTAAAGACAACTGTCTTACTAGATAAAGCGAAGGAAATTCTAGTTAAACAGATTATCTATAAATTCTGTGCTTCGATGATAAATAAAAATAATATTTGTAAGCGCTTACTGTTTACCTATATTAAAAGAGGGATCATTGAAATACAGGCATGTGAGATTCCTTATTGTATGTAACATGCTCATGGCAGTGCCCTAAAAACTTTAGATCAGTATTCCTATCTCCATTTTAATTTCTGCTCTGGAGCGTTTGAAGGAAATTGGGCGAAGAAAATCGAACATACTACGTAAATCGCACAAACTGACGGCAATGAGAACAAAACACTTTATTTTAATACTTTGCTGCATTATAATTACAACAATATTTTTCATAATTTTGGGACCGGCTGGTGAACCCAACGATTCTTTGAAAAGTATTGTTACGCATACACATCAGCAGCTAAACAAATTGCAGGAAAATCTGCGTGTTGCTGAGAAAAAAAAGCTTCAAATAGACCCGAAATATTTGTCTTTGCTTGGGTTCACCGATACGATTTACACGAAGCAGGCTCAAGAATTTAATCATTATGAAATTGAAAACCGACCAAAGTCGGAGGGAAAAATTGAAACTATAGAAGTATCTCATCTTCCGCTGCCAAATCGGGGTTCACAGGATTTAAAGGATGTTGGCGATAGTCCTTACAGCCCGAACTCATTTCGGCACAATAGCAGATCGCACATAGCAACACCGCCATACAATGGTACAAAGGTTAATTTCACCATTGTCACATACGTACAGGATGGTCAAGCGCCATCGGCAATCTTACTTGCTCAAAACATCGCTATGAAATTACCGGATGACCATCTGCTAATATATGACCTTGGATTATCAGAAGATGATTCCCGAGCTCTAATTACTTACTGTAACATCTCTAAATGTTCAGTTATAAGTTATGACTTGTCGCTCTTCCCCTCACATGTATCAGAGCAGCGTATGCACGCTTATCGCCCGATTGTTATAAAAGACGCTTTAACCCGATCCCACAACATTCTATTCGCAGAAAATTATATTCGATTTCGTGGTGGTAGCCATGACTTACAAAAATTACGAAGTAGAGTTATGACCTCAGGTGTCCTGGGTTGGAATACTCCCACTGCGGTATCAACACTCACACATCCCAAAATGTTTGATTACTTTCAAACCGATGCTGATGATTTTATTTTCCTGCGGATGATTGACCTCGACATAGCTTTATTTTCTGGCAGTCCCTTCTTAGAAAAAAATATTATGCTGCCATGGTTAAAGTGTGTTCTGACATTGGAATGTATTGATCCCATAGGTGCACAATGGAATGGCTGTAAATACAACAAAAAACCACTGTATCGGGATTCAGGATGCCACGCCTATGACGTATCGGCATTCAATATAGTGTTGGGTCTGACATGGCATTTAGATGCTTCGAAGTACTCGATGCCGATGGAAGGAAACAATATTTGTTACAAAGAAACACTAGAGAAATCTACTAGAATACATGGAAAAAACGACGAGCAGAAATTTTAAAACTTTTGCTCACTTGCTTTTCGGAAACCATCTATAGCTTAACGGATGAACCTAACAGATGGATTGCATACTTTACCTCAGCTGATAATCGTCATGCGCTACCACTCTTCACTTCATTGTTAAATACAGTGTGTGCTTATGACCCAGTGAGCTTGGGCGTACCATATAACCATCTGCTATTCGCAGACACAACCGAACCACTTGTTGAGGCTTGGCTGCAGATACTCATAGTAACATTAGATCACGATATGATTTTGCACCAGCAACAGCAACTGGAGTTGCAACGTCAAGTGCAAGGCCGTAACAAACCCTCATCCTCTTCGACAGTTAACTCTTATGATGATGGTTTCGGTGATAATTTGTTTATCAATTATCTTTCGCGTGTGCATCGCGATGAGGACTTTCATTTCATACTGAAAGGCATAACGCGCCTGCTAAACAATCCGCTTGCTCAAAATTACCTACCAAATTCAACCAAACGTCTTCATTGCCATCAAGAGTTGCTTATACTATTCTGGAAGGTGTGCGATTTTAATAAAAGGTTTCTTTATTTCGTGCTTAAAAGCTCAGATGTGTTGGATATACTCATACCAATACTATATCATTTGAACTACTCGCGCGCAGATCAATCACGAGTGGGCCTCATGCATATTGGAGTGTTTATACTTCTACTATTATCCGGTGAACGTAGCTTTGGTGTACGTCTCAACAAACCCTACACCGCCACGGTGCCCATGGATATACCAGTTTTTACAGGAACTCACGCTGATCTATTAATTACGGTTTTTCATAAAATCATAGCTACAGGCCATCAACGCCTGCAACCACTCTTTGACTGTCTACTTACCATACTTGTGAATGTGTCACCTTATTTAAAGACTCTGTCAATGGTGGCCAGTGTGAAGCTTCTGCATTTGCTAGAAGCTTTTAGCACTCCATGGTTTCTGTTGTCAGCGCCAAATAATCACCACTTAGTATTCTTCTTGCTTGAAATCTTCAATAATATCATACAATATCAGTTCGATGGCAATTCCAATTTGGTTTACACCATCATTCGAAAACGACATGTATTTCACGCGATGGCAAATTTACCCTCGGACATGGCGGGTATCGCAAAATGTTTAAGTGGACGAAAAGTCGGTAAATTCAATATACCCACCAGGGCCACCAGAACGGCTAATTTGATTCATGTGATCTGAAAAT